CAAAAGTTCAAAGAGTTAATCAAATTCCTGTTCCCTTATACGACAATATGATGTGCATCAGCATGTTCTTATTGTTTATCTGACATCTTATGCATGATAAGTTAATACTATAATTGTGCTTTGAGGTTCTATTGCATTTGGAGTTTACCATTTTTGTCTGTTACATGCTGATCTGAATGTCCTGAAAAAGTTTGTAAACACAGGTGGACAATTATGGATGTGTTGTTGACCTTAGTGACCTCTTGAAAGTAACGTCTGGTTATGGAAAAAGTGGTATATGTTTTTATCTAACTGCATTTTTTTGTTTTAGATATTTACTTGCAAGGACTTGAAAGAAAATGATATTCTATTATTACTAAAGACTCATATTAGTCCAGTGAAACAGTAACATATGAAAAGCTTAGTATTATCTAGCACTGATTATCTCATATTTTAGTTGTTTACTGTAATTTCAAGGATACAGATATTGGTTGATGGAAAATTCTTAGTCACTCATTACTTTGTAGCTTTTGGTTTTATTTGTCTAGCTAGAAAGGAAAATTCTTAGGCAAGAAATGTTGGAATACAATCACCGGACAAACCTAAATTCATTGATACAATTAACGATTGTAACATTTAATTGTTCATGAATATGTAACATTTAAATTCATTGCTTTTGGTTTGGTTGATTTTGTGGAGTTGGATTTGGTTTTGAAGTGTTGTTTTTTAATTTCTACGTTTAGGAAGATTTGGGCGATTTCTGCTATATCAAACCCCTTCACATAGTTACCTTGCCAAGTCGCCCACCACCCGTTCTACAAAAAAACCCCACCCAGCGCCCACTGCGCAAACCATAACTCGCATAAGAAAGCGAGAAACCAAGCAAGTCCATGATTGTTGAGAGGCAGGAGACGATAGATTAAAAGACAAAGGAGAAGGAACAAGAGAGCGACATCTACAGCTCTTTGGTATGTGTTTTTGGGAAAAAAACTTTTTCAAATAGAGGCAAAGAAATTATTGGATTGGGCATGGAGAAGATGCGAAGTGCTTGCTTTGCCGGTCGCGTGACCTTGTTCATGGCTATAGATATTTATATTGAAGTTGTCCCAAAAATTATGGAAAAGGGAACCGTGTGAGTTGCATGAATTATTAGATGTTGCTCAATAGCAAAATGTCAGTCTTTGCTTATTAAAAGTTAATTTTTATGATCTCACCCTCACTTTCTCCCCAAATCTTCACACTCGTACATCCACCAATTCAAGCTTCTTCTCTCTTAGTTCCATCATCCATGGCTTCTTTTTCAAGGCACAAGCTCATTTTTCCGGAACCTTGAGGGTCCGGCTATTGCTCCAACAAGCGGTGCTTCAAGCTTGAAGAGTGGTTTGCTGGTTGTATTAGCTGTTCTAGATTGGGGGTTGTTTTAACTGAAATGGCCGGCCAGCTTGGATGCTGGACAGATTAGGAGATTTTTGTTTAATTGTTTAGGGGAATCAAATTATTTCATTCTTTTTCCTTTTCTTGTTATATTATGTTAGTCCTTGGTTGAGATTTATAGTAATATATTAAATTCAGAGTGCCAAAAAGAAAAAAAAAAAAAGTTAATTTTTATGTTGTTCATTCTTGTTGGATATGGTTTAAAGACTTGATGAAAAAGAAACATTTATTTTAGAAGTGTCTAGCCAGGTTGCAATGCTCAAGTTCTGCGACTAGGTTATATTAAGTTTTATGTTGATTACGTTCTTTTTGGTGTACCAGTTAGATCCTGTGGTGGAAGTTGGTACCGTAGATCTTGTGTTTTTTGAGTTTGTGAGAAAAACAATTGTATATAATTTTTTGAAACAGTAAAACATTATTTTTAATAAAAAAAATTAGAGGGTTTAATTGGTAATTTAGATTCCTATACATGGTTGAGGGCATATCAATAATTTCATAGTTAAAGAGTGGATATATTGGTAATTGAATCTTGTGATATGACATAAAATAATAAAAAAATATTAAGCCAAAAAGTGACGGATTTTTCTAACGGAACATAATAGTGGGTGAAAAAGTGTCGTTTTGAAATTTAATGGATGGGAAAGTGTCGTTTTGCCAAATCTTGGGTGGGAACATATCGTTCTCCCTTGATCAATTCGTAAATGGATGTAGTTTGCTCGCTGTCACATCAGAATTGTGAGATAAAGTTTATAAGATTTAATTGTAAGTCAATATTTATCAATTTCTATTAGAATTACATCCTACAACTATTTTTAAGATAATTTAGATCAAACATGTCTTAAATTTCTTATTTTCTTTTACATGTTATAATTTATTCCAACATGCAGTATTTAACCAATATTAAAACTTCGAAAGTTACAAATCCAATACTAAATATTTAATTTCATCCATTTCTAATAATACTATTAAAGGTGGTAAAAATCATTTTAGAGTTACTCTTTCGTCATTATTCTAGTTTTTTCTTTTTCTGGAGTATTCTTTGCTAAAATTCGAATTAACAAATCCCAATGGACGAATAATTGTTTTATGGTGTATTGTCACGTGTTTGATGCAACATCTACTAAATATAGAATTAATCAATAAAATAAAAATGTATTTACTTAAATATTTAATTAATAATAATAATAAATCTTTTAAAGTAAAAAATCTTAAAAAACAAAAAATTTGAAACTAGCCAGAAAGATTGCCGGTGATCTACCCAATGGTGGTAATGGGCAAAGCCTTGGTCGTGACCTTTGGTTGGAAAGAGACAAAATATTTTTGTTAAATCTTTACTGGTTTTTATCTACGAAATGTCATCGTTATCGATTGTGTCAATACCATTGTTATGTAGATCACCAAATGATGTTGGCGATGTTGTCGTATGCGTTGTCAGAAATATCGTTGACAAGTTCACCGACCAATTTCAAAATTTTAATTATTTAAAAGAAAAATGATTTTGAAAAAAAAAAAAAAAAAGCTGTGTAAAAAAGTCATAATTTCCCCAATACATAGTAATCCGTGGGGCGTGGCCGCGTGGGGGTTGGGGATCATTTTTCTGAATGGAGTCCTCCCTTACCAAGCTTTTAATACTGTCCAATCCTTAAAATTCAATAAAACATGGGCTTAAACAAAAAATAAATAAATAAATAAAACTCTCAAGCTGAATAATACTGCCCTGCCTTGTGATCAAAGGACATTCTTAATCTTCAATGTGTAATAATGCATTCTTAACTCTAAGGGGTTGACTTGACGGTTAAAGAGGTTTGTTATATTTCTTACGTTCCTAGGTTCAAATCTTATCTAACCCTTTAGGTTTGTAAGGTATTCAATGGACTTTAAGGATTATTTGAGATACGTACAAACTGACTCGGATATTCTTGTTTAAACAAAAAAAAAAAAAAAAATGCTTTCTTAGAATAAAAGAATCATTTGATCCATCGGTTAGACACATATCAACTCATTTTGCACCCGGATATGACATTAAAGCCATACATATTTTGCGCCCTTGGCTCAATAAGTAAATACAAATCATCAAATTCAAATACTTTGGTCGTAATGTTCCCTTGGTATTTTTTCATTTATTATTGAATGAAAATAAAGTATGCTGATCCAGTGGTGTCCACATGAGTTCCGTGCAATGCGCTGAAAACAAAAAACGCTCAAACAAATTCATTACCGTGCGTGGCCTAAATATCAAAAGAATAGGTAATTAGGCATTGAATGATAATTGCTATAAATTGGATATATTGAACGAGTAAACGACACGTACCCAACCAAGTTTGGCAAATTTACAAGTTTTCACCCATGGTTTCATAAATTTTAGATTCTCACCCTTAAATTAACTCTGTTAATGAATTTTTACTTCTGACACAGTTATAAATAGTGCAGTTACACTACTGCCCTTGACCTTTGATTACATCGCAACCCAGCCACCACCACCACCTACCACCACCTTTCAACAACATCACGATTGAAACCCTAAAGTTATCACCACCACCACCACCACTCACCACCATTCCACCCATCCACCACTATCGCAATCCCTCTAAACCCCAAAGTCAGCCCCGCCGCCACCAAACAATTACCATAAACCACCACTAAATTACTCACAATTCAGGCACAAACCCACCCAAAAAGCACCACCCACAGCCATCCTACCCATCCACCACCATCACAATCCTTTTAAACCCCAAAGTTAGCCTCACTGCCACCAAACAACCGCCACAAACCACCACCAAATTACTCACAAATTCAACCACGACCCACTCACAAATCCAGAAAATGAACAAGGATTGCGAGCAAGAAACAGCAATCGGTGCAACATGAGATTGTAACCGGCGTGTCAAGGGAGAAGAGAGAAGCTTGATGTCGGCGGTGGATCGTAGACTCAACGCAAACGCAACAAACTCAAGCACATGTCGCGATGGAGAGATGCAGTCGGGAAAGGTGGAAATGACAACTATTGGTGGTAGTGCTAGTGGGGGTTTTGAAGAGGATGGTGAGAGGAAGATGATGATGGAGTTAGGTGGTTTAATCAACGTTGGAACTCGTCCATATTGGGCCTGAGAACAGTCAGTCGAACAAGGTTGGGGGTCGCACAAACAATGCAAAAACGGTGCAAGATTAGTTCGAAAACGAACCAATCAGGCTTGGGAAAGGTGTAATAGGTGATGAGGAGATGATTTTTGTAGATTTTGGTGCAAAATCCAGCTAAAATCCTGGAGAGAAAGGAGGAGTGAAAGGAGAGAGAGAGAGGGGTGGGACGATTGTGTGCTAACTATTTTATCCTTCAACCATTAAATTAAACAATTTTTTGTTAATTTAAAGGTGATAATGTGGAATTTATGAGACTGTGGGTGAGAACTTGCAGATTCCTCAAACCTTGGGTGGGTAAATGTCGTTTACTTTATCTTGAACTAACGCACGTCTTTACCATCTTTAAATCTCACCACTACTTATTTCCCAATTCGTCCTTCCTTACTTAATGGCCTTTCCGTAATAATCCCTAAATTTCTTCCCCAATTCTCAATTCTCATTTCTATATAAACCCAAAATGTTCCACTTACAACCAAAATTCAAGAAAACCACTTCACCAAAAACTTAACCTTTTTATAGCAAATTAATATGTCCGGTTACCCTCAACCACCACCCGGCTACGGTTACGGCCCCGCGCAGCCGTCTCCCTACGGCGCCCCGCCGACAGCTCAGCCATACTCTGCTCAACACGGAGCCCCGCCGACCGCTCAGCCATACTCTGCTCAACACGGAGACCCGCAGACAGCTCAGCCCTACACGGCTCAGCCATATGCACCGCCGAAGACTCAACCGCACTCGGCTCAGCCGTACGCGGCTCCGTCCGCACCCTCCTACGGCGTTCCAGCTCCAGGCGGCTACCCTCCGGCGTCGGGACAGGCAGGAAACCCGTTCGCGACTCTACTGCCGTCGACTTTCCCGCCAGGCACGGATCCGAACATCATTGCGTGCTTTCAGGTAGCCGACCGCGACGGAAGTGGACTTATTGACGATAAGGAGTTACAGGGAGCTCTCTCTTCGTATAATCAGAGCTTCAGCTTGAGAACCGTTCATCTTCTCATGTACTTGTTCACTAACACTAACACCAGGAAGATCGGTGAGTTCTTCTTTCTTGTTTGTCCTTTTTCAAATTTTGATTTGCGTGAGCACGTTAGCATATAAGTTTACCGTATCCTAATTTGCGCCGGATGGTTTGTTTGCTCCTCCCGTTTACGATAGTGAAAACCGGTTTTGACACGTACTGGTGCATACTAAAATGACGAAAATATCCTTCTATTGGATGAGGTAGACTGGTAGATTTTAATTAATTAATTTGGCTGATCAATTTTGTCTTTGTGAGAGTTAAGTCTACGCGGTGTGGAAGTGAGTTTACAATTATGTCCTGGAGCATCTTTTGTACGTTACTCTGTGTAAAAGTAGGATTGTGACGTGTGCAACGCGTTTTGGAACCATTGGATTGATCGTGTTTGGTCAATTTGAAGCATCTTATCACAATACAATTTTATTTGTGGGTCATGGCCATGAGTGAATTTGAATATTTATTTATTTTTTGTCACGTGACACATGCAACGGATTTTTAATTGATTATTTCCAAATATTCTATGCCTAATCTTGTATTAACTTAACATGCAAGTATCTTAGTGACATTTAATGTCACATTTGACATTGTATATTGAAAATATTATATTTTATTGAGTAGCTGTTACTTTATTTAAACATTAGAGTGTCACATCTAATCAAATTTCAACATATTGATTTTTTGTAGTTTTGTTACTTTATTATCTGTTTGCTGCTAATCCCTAGTTATTTTATTTGAACTATTTTAATACAGGGCCTAAGGAATTTACTGCTGTGTTTCACAGTCTTCAGAGTTGGAGGGTAAATTGGATTGTTTTTTAATTTTTGGGTAATGCATTTTAAAAGTATTTTCAATCTACCTTTGTTTTTAATTAATTATTGCAATTGGCACAGGCCATTTTTGAGAAAGTAGACAGGGACAGGAGTGGAAAGATTGATGCAAATGAGTTACGGGAAGCACTTTTCAGTCTGGGGTTTGCTGTTTCACCCGTGGTTTTGGATATGCTTGTAGCTAAGTTTGACAAAACTGGAGGCAAAAGTAGGGCCGTTGAATATGATAACTTCATCGAGTATGTTCTAATTCATCCTTAGTTATCTTTTCCCCTCTTCTAATATATTATCATGTTCATGCATGTCTAACTCTATTTTTAATTGTTTTCCCTTGATGCAGGTGCTGTCTCACTGTTAAGGTGAGCTCATAACCAGCTTTGAGTCTTTGATATATGTATTTGAATATTTTTGTCATTTGCAATAGTTTTCAGTTGACAAGATGGTTGGTATCTTCGGCTTAGTTGTAAAATGAAGAATAAATGCTGAACCTAAATCATTGAAATAAGATGTTTAGGCTGCAAATTGAATGAGATATGATACTATATATTGTGTTTCAACTATTTGCTTTGAGTAAAGTTTTACTCTTGCGAATTTTGTTTTTTTATGATGGATTTGTGAACTCTTGCAGGGATTAACGGAGAAATTTAAGGAGAAGGACACCTCTTACACAGGTTCTGCAACTTTCAATTATGAGTCGTTTATGATGGCTGTTCTGCCATTCCTTATCGCCTAGGTTTAAGGTTTTGGTGATGCAATTTCTCTGTATTTTGGCATAATATTCGGTAATTAACGTGGCTTTATTTTCTTGGCTGTAAACAAGTTAAAGTTCTATGAATTTATGATTTAATCATTTAACTTGATCAACTCTTCCAAGCGATATGTGCAACATTAGGCTGTAAAATTTTTACCTACTGGGGCTTCTGGGAGAGTTGTGATTTTCTTTTTCTTTTAAATTAGTTTATGCCAAAAACCGTTTGAATTTTCGAATTTGAAATCTAAAGCTAAGTGACCACCTTTTTAATTTCAAGCATTCTTAAAGTCGTTGCTTTCCTTGTGACTGTAAGTTGGATAAAATATGTCTTTAGGTAACAAAGTACAATTAGTGTTGGATACAAGAGCTCACGACGTTCGAACCTTCTTTAAAGAGGAAAAAACACAAAGGTCTGAGGTCATAAACAGGTTATGGGTCAGCTACGGCTCAATTCCAAATAATATCCTAACAGCCCAATATTCGAAGTTAATGTGAAAAATTTACTCAGCTTTCTCTGAGGAGAGGTTGATGCCTAGTTGGACGTGTGGTTGAAAGTTGGGTCAGGCTTTTATCAGTCATCGGAGGATGTGTACCGAATTTGTGTATCGAATAACGTGACGTAATCTTGATCGTTAATTAATATTAATCGATGGTCATGATTGCGTTACGTCATTCGATGTACGAAGTTGGTGCACATTCTTCGGTAACTGTATTATTTTTCTTTATCAAATGTCACTAACAACTTAATTTCCACATACCTTTAACTCTTCTTCGGTTGATAATCACACAACAAGTAATAAATGGGAGTTGGTATGGATAGTTATAAAAAATAGCCATAAGAACTGTAACAACTTCTTTCTATTATCATATTTATAAAATATATCAATAAAAAGACAAGTATATTTATCAAAAAGGTTGGGTCTAAAAATTTTATTTACTTAATAAATACATTCTTTACATAGTACAACATCATTTGTACAAAAGACTCTAAAAAAGACAGTGGACAATGTAGCTAAGTCTCTTCGCTTGTCGACGTCCATCCGACCAGGTCCTCACCTATGTCTTATACAACAAAGAGAACAATGGAGTGAGCACAAAGATGCTCAGTAAGTAAATCTTCTACTCTATAATCCCCGTGCATTACTCAACACTTCTTTTCGTACTCTTGTCACTTTTTCTAATTCTAGTTCTCGCTATTCTTTTCTTTCTTTCTATTCTCATCACTTATGGAGAATATCATAACCATGCATGGAGGAGATATTAAAGCATAACAATGCATTTTCTTTCTATTCTTTTCTTATTCTTATTCTTTGCCGGTCTTGGTCGATGTATGAATTCGGAACCCTTGACCATGTGAGTGTACTCTCTTTCGTGTATAGCTCTCATCCGCATGTATTCTCACGGCTATACAAATTCTGTTTCTCATTCTTATTCCGCTCTCTCATGGCGGAGACCGCTCTCTCTCATGGTGGTTTACACGCGGGTAGCTCTACACTCACGGGTTCCCCATTGCACAACCTAATTTCTTTTCTTTTCTGTAGCACTTAATAATCATTTTATTCTCTAGTGCTAGTTCTTTCTTTCTCTTTATTCTAAAAGAATTGGTTCTTTTCTTTATCTCTATTCTCAGAGTGTTTCTTTCTCATTTCTCATATTCCTTTCTCATGTGATTACTCAATTAAACATATGCATAAGGATGGCTCAAGCCTAAAATCTTTCTTATATGCATTCATGACATGCAAATATGCTATGTTGCATAAAGTAAGGTTCTCTACTTCTACTCATGCTTTTTTTAGATATTTCATCAAACAATATGTGTGCATACATAAACTCTATTCTAATTGTTAATGATACTTCTTTCTTAATCATCCAAAATAGGAGTTCAACTCCTTTAAATCATCACACATCCTGCAAAGAAAACACACTTCAAATATTCCTCTCAAATTCTTTTAATTCTCTCCATATTTCTACCAAAACTTATCAACACAATCCACCATACTCATGGTGGAAATTCTTTCATAAAACAACNTTCAGAAAAGTTATAAACAAACAAATCAGCTTAATTTTAAAGCTTAAAGGTAATTTGACCAACTTATAAGCTTAAACAAACACTGTTTTCAGCTGATAATCACACCACAAGTAATAAATAGGAAGTTGGTAGCACAAAATGGATAGTTATAAAAAATAGCCATAAAGAACTCCATAAATTCTAAGGGGGTTTCAATCATGCTATATATTTCATATAAATGCTCCATAAAACACCTTACAAAAACTCTGATTAGTTACTTAATACTTTCTCAAGTATGTATGATTGGCTTCAGCATCAGAGAACAAAATAGATTTCGAACACAAACATAGAGCAAGCTCACCACACAGGGAAATAACTGGAATGCTTCAAAACCTGAGGAGCCTCCTTTTGCAGGGAATTTGGACAGGTTGTAAAGAATGGGATGTAACTTTCTCTAAGAACTCCAAAGTCAACTCCGTAAAATGTCTAATGATACTTTATTTCGTTTTATATCAAATTCCAGTTTCCCTTGAATTTGGTTCTCTTGCACCATTAATCAATGTAAGGATCTGAAACTTTTTTGAAATGACATTTGTACCTATGCATTGGAACACTCTTATTTCAATCTCCCTTGGTTGCAAAAGACTTGGCCTCAAACTCTTGGCTGTTGTCTTCAACATGGTATTGGACTAAGATCAGAAATATTGAAAATTGATGAGACCCCATAACTTTCTGGCAATTCAATCTTGTAGTCATTCTTACCAAAATGCTGGAGTACTTTGAAAGGACCGTCAGCTCTAGGTTTAAGTTTGGCATACTTTCCATACCAAAACCTCTCCTTCCGAAGATGTACCCATACCAATTCACCTTATTTAAACTCAACATTCCTTCTATGCTTGTTTGCCACATTTTTGTACTTGTCATTTTGCTTGATACTTTTAAGTCTTAACACTCACTTCAGCATTTGAACTGAACTGATGACTAGCCGAAAGAGGAGCTAAATCCAAAGGAGTAACTTGGTTTTGACCATAAATAACTTAAAAGGACGATAACCAATAGTTTGACTTGAAGAATGATTGTAAGCAAATTCAATTTGAGGCAAAATCAAATCCCATTGTCGAATATTCTTTCCAACATAACTCCTTAGAAGATTTCCCAAGCTTTGATTAACAACTTCAGTTTGACCATCTGTTTGTGAATGATAAGACGAGTTGAAGTTAAGTGTTGTACCAAGCTTTCTCCAAAAGGGACTCAAGAACTTGGAATCCCAATGTGAAACAACGGTTTTAGGAATACCTTGTAGTTTAACAATATCCCGAAAATATAAATCGGCCACATGAGAAACACTAAGGTCTTGTTGCATGGAACAAAATGAGCCATTTCAAAAACCTATCTACAACCATCTTGATAGTCTTTGTTTTTTTGAGTTCTTGGCAATCCTACTACAAAGTCCAAACTAACATCTTCCTATGGAGTCTGGATGCTAGTAATGTAGTGCATAACCCGCTGTTTTGACATGACTCTTCTCAACATGACAAATTTTCCACTTCTGCACATGCCTCTTCACATCACGCCCCATCTTTGGCCAGTAGAAATTCTCTTACACAAGAGCAAGGGTTTTATCTCTTCCAAAGTGACCACCAAGTCCAATTCCATGAACTTCCATGATAATAGACTTTCAAAGAGAGCATTCTGGAACACATAAATGATTTGCTTTTGTTGTAACATGAAACCCAAAACAGAACAATATATGCAGTATTCGAAATCCAAGCAAAGACGACAAGTTTACAGCAATAATCTATCAAGAAAAAACAAGACAAGAAAAGTAAATAACACTAGATATATAGTGGTTCGGTAATCTGAAAGATTACCTACGTCCACTCTTCAGGGCAAAGGAAATAGATCTACTATGAGAAAAATGAGAAACCTTACAGAGATTAGCTCACTCCCTTTACACAAGGTACAACTCGTGAAATACCCCTCTGATTTACACCCATACACCCAGATGCTCTCACCACTCATACATGTACTAAAATAGGCAGAAATTAGAGACAAATTTATACAACAAACTAAGGCAAAACAAATAGGACAGCTAAGGCCTACCATCACCGTTTGATTTCATCGACGTTCTTCGGATTTCCAGCACAGCAGATTCTAACCGTTTTCTCTCTCTGTTAACCAAGAGAGAATGGTCGAGAATGAGCAGCACAAAACCTAAAATTGATTTAGGTTTGTTGAAGACAGCAGAATGACTGAAATGCCCCTTAAGTCAATAACAATTTACATTGACCATCCAAAGTAAAACTTGACTTCCACGTGTGAATATCAAGTGCCACATCACAACAATCTCCACCTTGGCATTTGATATTCTCCCTTCCTTACTGCCCTGAAAAAGAAATCCTTTTAATTCTCTTCAACATGCAAAAGGCTCTTAAAGAGCCTTAACTTGTCCAAGGTCACTGATTTAGTAAACATATCTGCTGGGTTCTCCTTTTTAGGAATTTTCTCCACCTTAATGACTTTATCTTCAATCAGGTTTCTGATGAAATGCAGTCTAACATCTATGTGTTTCGACCTCTCATGAAAAATTTTATTTTTACACAGAAAAATGGCACTTTGACTGTCACTCTTGATTGGAACTTGTTGCTGAACTAGTCCCATCTCATCAAGCATTCCCCTGAGCCACATAGCCTCCTTGACTGCCTTTGTAATTGCAACATACTCTGCTTCCGTGGTGGACAAAGTTACAATAGCCTGCAAATTAGCTTTCCAACAAACCAGATTATTCCAAATGGTAAAACAGAAACCAGTCATGGATTTCTTATTATCAAAAACGTCTTTGGATGTGCTTCAGTATTTCTACCATAACTTGATCTGTAGAACTCGGATTGTGCTGATTCTTAAACTACCAGAAAGATAATTTAAAGGTCTACAATTAATATGTTTAACACTTTTCCAGATTCAGACTCTATCATGCTCAAATTTTGCATGGACACAAATGAATGAATAACGAAAATTTGTTAGGGGTGTATTTGTAAACTTATAAGGTATTTTTGTTATTTTTTAAACTAATAGGGGGGTAATTGATTTTTTATAGGG